CTGCTGTGCAGTGATGAGAAGCGTGCCAGAGAAACAGGATGCCTTCACATCATTTGCATTCTGTTGCGGTAGTCCAATTTGCATTTTTAATCCACACTCAAATAGGAGAAAAGTCTGAAAGCAGTCTGCTTTGTGGTTACAAGTAGGTAGCCTGACTTCTGCTGTCAGCCACTTGTCTGCCTGTGCCGCTCTGGCCAGTGCCGCTCTGGCCAGTGCCCTTGGAGGGCAGGCCTGGAGATGGCCTGCGGGTGGTGAGAGCTTGCTGCTCTAGAAGTGCTGCTGGGACTGTGGGCTCCCTCCCTCTGCATTCCCAGGCTGCCTCCTGGGATTTGCCTCCCCAAGGCAATAAACAGTAGTCATTCATTGGTTTTAAATGACGGATGTATAATGATTTGTTGAATGACCATCCTAATTATAGTAAATATACGTAAGAGGGCCAAATTCACATCATGTAAATGAGGTCAATTCTGGTATTTTAATGTGACTGCTTTGCTGTGCTGCCTACAAACATTCTTTTGTCATAACCTTTGCACTTTTTATATCTGTTTGCAAGTGATATTTTCAGTTCATTTTTAACATGTGGAACCATGTCAGTCTTCCAGCTCGGTTCTTACTCAGGAAGAAGACTGCCAGAAACTTTCAGTTCATGGCAGGGATATTTTCCATTTAATTGAACTATGAACAATCTAAGGAAATAATTAGCTGAAGTGGTGTTTGGGTTTGTGCATAAGCCAGCTGCTGGAGGAGATCTGAATATGGTTTTTTTGTGGTGCAGCCACCTCTTGCACTCCCTTGGTTGCTTCTCTGTGGTTGTAGCCAAGGAGAAGACTGTGGCTTATTAGTCCTTGCAGATTTGGGGACTCCAGGGTGGACTACTTGGAGACCTGTCAGCTCATTGTTAAGAGACTCCAAAGTGAGATTTTACTGAAGGTTTTTATGTTGGCTAAATTCAGTTAAAGCAGAAGCCTGGTTTGGTTTGAGGGAGTATGCCATGCTCCAGAAGCTCTCCACATTTCAAATTTTCTAGGTCACTCTTGGATGCTCTAATTTTTTTCCAGAGAAACAGCAAAAACTTTGACACTGATGATTTGTATTCTTCTGTCGTCTCAGTCTCGGAGAGCATAGAGATACTTTTTTGGCAACTTCTCCCCCTCCTCAACCCCGTCACCATCATTAGAAGGCTGTCAACAAGCATCAAAAATCCCAGCATGCCAACTGTAAATGCTGATTGACAGTTCAGCAGCCGAGGTGGCTGAGTCGTGCCGTGCCTGACTTGCACCAGGCCGTGTCCTGGCCCCGTGGTACATCCCCAGTAAGCGTGATCTGAGGGATCCTGCTCATGTACCTGCGTGGGGTTCACTGGGCAGGGGAAACCAGAGATGGGTGAAAAGCAACCTCGTGAGTGGACATTATGTGTGCTAGGAGCGTGGTTTGGGTTTTTTATTACTCTTAGGCTTACCTTTACCATTTAGATCTTATTGATACTCCTTCCATGCTTCTGGTTTCACTGCTTTTTTTGGATAAAAGAGCTTGGAAAGTGCCCTGGAAAAACTGGAGTTTTGCTGCCAGAGCCTTGTCCCCAACTAACATGCAGTCCCCAGAGTGCTTTTGGAATGGTTTCATCAGTGGTGGCTATCGTGGCTAAGAGATTTTCCTGTTTTCTTTCCCTCTCTTCAAGTGCCCTGTTCTTGTGGGGTTTGTCCCTGCTTAGTGAAGGGCTTTGAGACGTTGCGACTTGCTGTGGGTGCTTTCTGCAAACAGGCTCTACGGTTTCATGGCATCACTCTGTAGGATCACCCCATGATGGGATTGCTCAGTGGCTCAGAGTCTACTGACAGTACTATTTACATACTCAGCCATCGGCTGTTATTCCAGATGATGCAGATTTTTTAGTAGCTTTAGCTGAAAGGGCTTTTATTGAATTGTATTACTTAGACTTAAACCCAGTGCTGCATCTCCAACAGACTTCTAAGTGAAAAATCATGTATAACTGTTTTTGAAAGATGCTGAACAGTAGCATAAATCATTGCTCCCAGAAGTGAAATCCTGGTGCTCTGTTTTGATGAATTTGGCAATTCAGAAAAACAGTAGAATCTGCTCGTGCCCTTGGAAATCCAGACATTTCCATGGCTTAGAGCTCAGTGTTCCAGTACTGCAGAGCTGTGGTGCCTTTTAAACCCTTCACTGGTGAGTCAACGGTGTGCTTACTGCTAGTTTTGAGGGGGAGGTTCCTGACTGGAAGGGCCAGAGAGACATTTCTGTAGCAAACTGATTTAGAAGGAAAAGGCCAAGCTGCTCAGAAGAACAGGATGTTGAAAATCCACAAGGAAAATTAACAGGCGTAGTGCAGGTGAGTTGGTGAGAGAGATCCAGGATAAACTCTGAAAATGGAAGAGATTTTTACTGTCTAGGTACCAGACAGTACACGTGGCATACCTTGGGCTTACCTTCTTTTCCCTCCTAGTACTGTTCCCAGAAATTCTGAGAAAATCTTTGTGATTTCACAAAGATCTGCTCAATGGAAAGTGGTGAACTAAAAATTAGGGTATTACCCAAACCATTTTGCAGAGAAAAGGAAGAAAATGCAGATGATAAGGAATAAGAAGTGACAGGGACTAGATGAAATAAAGGTTCTGAAAATATTTGGGTTGGAATTAGTAACAAAATGGGGAGATGAGGAATTTAAAGCCACTGAATCCTTACAATGTGTGTCCTAAATGAAGGACTCATTTTGGAGTGTTAAATGATGATTACAACCTTGAAAATTACTTTATCAAGAAGAAATCAGTAAGAGCTTGTAGAAAAAGTGAGCTGGCAATCAGCAGGGTGTTAAGGAAATTAGGGAGTAATTATGCCAGTGGAACTTTCTGCAGTTTCCAGGAACTGAATTTGCAGTAGAGACCAGCACCACATGGACTTAAAGACTGTTTTCCACAAACCCAAAAATAATCTTAAGGCTTTCTTGCAAGTTTTATCTTCAGTGGCTGGCAGAAGGATGGAGCTGTATGTTGGATTGCCCTACCAGAGGAAGCATCTTCAAATCTAGCTGTCCTTGTTTCCTGAGCTCCTAGGCAGGGCTGCAGCTGCCTGCTGAGGAGCTGCTGTTTCCGAGGACTTCCCTGGGCTGCTGGGGTGGCTGCAGCTCTGCTCGTGAGGATGTGCACCCTGCCTTCTCTCCCTGCCTGTGCTCGGTGGGTCCTGAGGCAGCCACCAGTGTTTCTAGCCTGCTCTCCTGGCACTGCCCATATCTTGAGTGTGGGATGGGATGGGATGAGTGCCCTGCTTGAGAGAAGGAACATGTCCCTCAGGGGGACCAACAGTCCCAGTGGGACAGCCGTGGTTTCCACTTCCCTGTCTTTCTCACTTGTGTCTCCTCACGTACCGTAAGGTACAAACCTCCTGGGCATGTACAGCAGGTAACACTCCACACTGTGAATTGACCTCAAGGAGATTCCTTGCACCTGAGGTTGCAGGACTGTCCTCTGAGTGCACACACCAGCCCTCACTCAGCAAGGTCTAGGGTCACTAAGGGTCTAGGCTCAGCAGTCTGTGAGGCAAAGGCAAATCCATGCAGGAAAGCAGTACTTGAACAGCTAGGCAGCAGAGAGGAAACCCCTGAAGTGCTGGAAGCATACAGGCCTGCCAGGAAACCATGGCCTTGGTCCATTAAAAGGCAGCTGTGGAGAGGGGAGATGGTGGAACCCAGCCTCAGAGGTAGTGTCTTTGGTCTCCAACTTTCTCTGCTGTATTTTTTTGTAGAGGTTAAAGGACAGTTGTTGGTCTGCTGCTGGGAGATTCCCTCCCATGAAGCCTTCCCTCTGGCTCTACTCAGCATCTCCCTCACGTTCTGGACAGCACTTTATGTATGAGGATATCGTGACTTCTGAGTAATAACTCTGGAAACTTGTTTTATCATGCTCATGATTTACTCTGGGGGTTCTTCAGTGATAAGGCACTACTGGGACAGAGTACCTGGGAAGCTTCTGACTCATTAGAGATCCCTAAAATAGCTTGGGGCTATTTACAGCTCCCTGACTTCTGCTTGTACCGTCCAGTGATGGGCCAAAAGAGCAGCTGCTCCCCTGGGGCGTGGAAGACCTGGATCTGTGTCTGTCAGTGAGTCTCATATTGTGGTGTTGGGAAGTACAGACTGTGTGGTCTGACCGTGCCTCCAGTGATGGGAGGTGTCTTGTGGCTCTGTGCACTTGAAGCTCAACCTGAATCCTGCATGCCCAGGCATGGTCTGTTGTCTATGGCAAGTGAGAGCCACCAGGAATCCTGTCTGCTCACTGCTTTCATGGGCTGCTCCAGGCAGGAGCTAGGGGACTTGCACTTACAACTTCATTTCACCCTTAAATCATCTGTATTTCAGCAAAGCTTGTGGATTTGTTGGGCTCCTGACATCTCTCCAAGGGGGCCACACGTGGAGCTGGAAGCAGGGTGTATGTGGAGGCAGTGGAGTTCCTCTGCTGCTGCCATGCAGATGCTCGAGGCCAGCCCCACCAAGGACTGGCTGCAGAGCGGTGGCTCTGCTGGCTCCAGAGCCTGTGGCCTTGCCACATGCAGGCACATTTCTCTGAAGTGATGTTTTCCCTTGTATTCCTCCTCAAGTAGCTGCCTTGGGGCCAGCCTGGTGGTGGCTGGTGTGACGGAGGCTGTCCAGCCACCCCTTTCCAGCAGGAGGAGAAAAGCAGATTAAAGCAGCTTCCCTCTCCTGCTCTGCTTACTCTGTCTGTGCTCTTCCCAGAAGGTCACAAAGCCTCTTCTAGTTCCTCTGGAGCTAACAGCAGCTTTGTAGCTCCGTGCTAGGGCAGGGCACAGGCGCTTCCCCTTCCACTTCCGTGGCAGAGCTCCAGCTAAGTGAACCAGGAGACTTTCTCCTCTTCTCACCCTGCTTCCCTTGCAAAACCTTTAGGAGCCAGAGCGTTAACCCCTTTCTTTGTTCCTGAGCAATCTGCGTGTGCTGGGCACATTCGTCATTTCCCCCCTTGTCTCAACAGGGAACTCTTTCCATCGGTGGCAAAGAAGTGACCCTTGAGTACACCCCGTGCCCAGAGTTTTGGCGCTGCAAACGTGTAAGTATGTGGTGAAAGGGCTGCGCTGTGCTTCCCCTGCTGCCTCTCCTGGCAGTGGCACCAGAGAGGAGTGTTAGATACTTGATCAGTGGCTGAAGATCCTCAAGAATAAGACCTGTCCTGAAGCTCTTGCCTCTTCTAAACTTTCATGGGTTCCCCTACCTTACTTTTGGTACCATCTATGAGTGCATGTTGCTTTAGTACAGGTAGCCAGTGGTTTCTGCACCGAGCGGTTCCATCCCTCTTCAGTGGTTCCATTTATAACATGTGGGGAAAATAGTGTGTGAATCCTTTCTCCTTAAAAACCAAAGTGAGAAAGTGATTCTACCAGCTGGAATGGAACAGGCTTTCACTCTGGTTCACCTGTGTGACCACAAGTGTCCTCACCTCCCAGGTAACCAGAGCTTTGAGCAGCATAACACTGCAAACCACCTCTGTGTCTTACACAAGAACCTGGGACCTAGGTTTGAATGTAGCAAGTACAGCAGGGAAGGAAGCGTGGAAACGAGTCCAAGTCCAGGCAGCAGTTAGTACAGCCTGGAACCCGGTCCTGGGGTGGCGCAGTTGCCCCAGGGCCAGTTTTGTTCCTGTGCCCTCCCCAGGGTTCTCCCAGCAGCGCCGTTTTGGGCTGTGGTGGGCTGGGAAGAGCACTGGAGCGAAGGGCAGGGCTGCCTGCATCCCCCTGCCTGCACACCGAGAGGCTGCAGCAGGGTGGGAAGGGATGGGTTGTGGTCAGACTCCCACCTGGACCACTGGGTCATAGTAGGCTACAAAGCCCTTCATCCAGGCTAATTGGATGCACTACAGCTCAGCTGCTAGCAGAGCCATCACTCAGCGCCTCGTCTGTGCTTGCAGCACTCCAGAGATCAGGTAGAGACAGGAGTTCCAAGCAGTGCTTTCACAACAGCACCCAGTGCAATGAGGAGGAGCTAGAGCATACGTCCCTGCTGTGGTGGGGCACAAGCGTGGTTTGAAAGAGCTTCCTTGTGCCCCAGAGCATTTACAGGGCTTCGCTCAGAGGAAGAGAAAAGGGTATGGAAGAGAAGCAATGCAATTACAGAGAGCTTGCAGAGGAAGCTGAGAATGCTGTGTTTGGAGGGAGTTGTGAAGGTAGGGCTCCTGGCTTCTGTGATGGGTTAACTGTCTAAGCCTCTACAGCTCTACCCCTGGTTAGCAGACAGCTCTTCACTGACTCTCCCTCAGCAGCAAGTTACATCAGTATCTGCAGTTTGGCTCAGAGGAGGACTTGGTCACTGCTTTAGGAATGAGTTGAGATTAGAGAATACAAAGGTACCTTGGGATCCTGTGAAACAACAGGGTGGCCAGCAGTGTGGTGCTTGACATGGAGCTGCGTAGTCCAGTGTCACCTGAGAGGGGGAAGGGTCCCACCACATGGCCTGGTGAGGTGCCTCCATGGCGTGAACAAACCTGTGCTTGGAAGTTGTGTGAAAATCCTGTTCCCAAGGCAGTCCCAGTTGTGAGCAATTCCCTCCCATTCCAGCCCAGGCTGCTGCTGCCATTACCCATCCTGTCTCTCAGGCTCTCACTGTAACTTTTCTGTGGCTGTTACTCTCTGAAAGCATTGCAGATTCTGGTCTTCTGGAGTAGGTTGTACCACTGCCTTCAAAACATGACTTCCTCATACTGTCATCTTCCATTGCAGTGTAAGGTGTGTACTGTGGGCTACAGATCTTCCTGTTCCTATTGCAAGCTCCCAAGAGATGGTGAGTATATCTGGTCCCTGTGCTTGGTCAGTTAAAAATTTCACCTGCCCCAAGAAGTAGGTTTCTCTTCTGGCATCCCTCTTGGTGGATGAGCTGACCACTCTGTAGGAGGATTATTAGTTTTGGTTTGTTTAGACCCTTTTCCCTGTCCTCACTAAGGACGTTACAAATGGTTGTATTGCCACCAGGGTCTCTGTTCTTGTGAGGCTTGGTGGAGAGGTGTGTTACTGCACAAAGCAGTGTAGGAGAGTACAGGAGCCGAAACATGCTCCCTTGAAGAACAGCTTTCTTTGGGACGAGCAGGTATTCCAGGCACCCTGTAAGCTTTGACTCCATCTTTGGGCAGATTCTGATGGTTTGTGTTTCTTATCTGCATACCCCAGGCAGAAGGGCATTAGAATAGCGGCTGATGCAGAACTCTTTATTTACTGAAGCACTGTCCCCGTGGTTGTGCTTTCCTTGCACTGTGGCTCCTCCATCAGTGTTATGAAGGCAAAATTCATGTAGCTGGCCCAGCACAGCTGTGGGCTGTAATAAAACTGCCGAGGAGCAAATTAAACAGAGCTTTTGAGATGCTGTGAAGACAGATTGTGGTGCATGCTTCTTATTGACCTTCTTTTGTTGATTGTGAAAACGTGTAATGTAGTAACATCTCTATGACTGTCCTTTGACTGCTGGGTGAAATAAAACTCTCTAGGCATGCACTGTCGTTACTGCAGCTTTGCACAAGTTCCTGTGCTCTTTGTGACTGTTAGTCTTGAAGTGGACTGTAATGTGCCTCTCTTACAGGGAGCAGAGCAGGCCCAGAGTCCAGAGGTGTTTCTGAGGGAGAGGACGCACCAGCTGAGCAAGAATTCAGTAAGAGAACTGCTCTCCCCGTGTCTGGGGTTGGTTGGTTGGCATAGGCAGTATTCACAGCGGCATGCGCGGGCTGGTTTCACATGCAAATTCTACATGAGGTTCTGCTGATGAAGAGTGGCCAGAACTCTGCATGCTGAAAACTGCAGACAGATTAGTATGGGCATGTCTAACATGAGTTGTGGAGCTTTCCCCACATCGACATGCAGCCTGGTTCTGTGTTCTGCTGTGCTGCCTGCTGCCCAAACTGTGAGAATGGGGAGGTGCTCTGGGGGACAATGAAATGTGAAGCTTTGCTGCGCTGAGTCTTGCACCCCCCCTTTCTTTCTCTGTGGGAGAAGGCTTCAGCAGCAGATGAAGGGACGTCTGCAAAGATGTCTGACTTTGCAGCCCCACAGCTTTGGCTTTGCTTTCCAATAGCTTTAGAAGCTCAGGTGGGGATCTCTTTTGAAGTGAAGCCAGATGCTTCATAGGCCTTCAAGCAGAGAAACTTGATGGGATTTATCTTCTCTGTATTGCATAGGTAGGCTGGGGGGCAGGGTGTTTCCACATAATACCTGCCTCATCTGTGGTGAGTAGGCAGCTGATAAAGTCAGTGGCTGTGTTGTGTTGCCTCTTGTCTCTGACAGGAGAGGTCAGGTAAAAGAGCCCAACATGAAGCAAGTCAGTGGAAGAACAAGCAGTATCTAGCCTGTCTTTTACACACCTTGTGTCTGCAGAGTGTTAAGACACAGGACATGCAAAGGGCAGAACAGGTTAACCCTTTATAAGGGGCACTGCTGCAGTGGCCAGAAGATAGGAGAAGAAAAATACATGCTGAAACACTGTCTGTGGAACCAGTGCATTTCTCCTCTCCAACAGCAGAGACAAAGCTTGAAAAACCTGAGCAAGAGTTATCAGGACAACCAGGATCTCCAAAGCAGCCTCTCCAGCCCTCGGTTCCTGCTCCACAGCAAGAGTGTCAGCCTCAGGAACAGGAGCCAAGGAAGAGGGATGAAGGGCAAGAGCGGCGGCCCTCACAGGAGAGGAGAAGGGACATGGACCGGCACCAGGAGCTGCCTTCTCAGAGAGAAGCAGAGGAAGCCACGCCACAGGATGGCGGAGGAAGCAGAAGTGAGTGGCACAGGCCCCCGTTTTGGATTCCTCTTGCTTGTACTCCCTGAGGCTATCTGCAGGAAGGGCAGCATTTCACTAAAACCTCTGGAGGCTGTTTCTATGTTGTGCAAATCGATGGCAGCAGGTAATGATGGGCTGTCCACCTCCAAAGGTGCTGGAAAATTGCCTTTAGGAGAATCTCATCCAGGGCAAGCTGGCTTCAGGATGGTGCAGTTAACTTAGCACAGCAGCCAAAGTCGATTTGGCCAGAAGTTACCCTGGGCTGAGATTCTTTGAGGAGGGACCTACTTTCTCCTCTGTTTTCTGGGAAGGAAAAGGTAGCAGGGTGGTCGTTTTTTACTGCTTTTCCTTTCCTGACCGCCTCCCTCATTGTGCTTCACAGCGATTATGCTGAAGCGCATTACTCGGTTCACCCCCCCCGAAGTGATCGTGGGGCTCCTGGCCCCCTACGTGCGTCTCTCCACCTCCAGCGTGCGCATCATGAAGAACAAGGCTGGGCGGATGGGGCAGACCTACGGCTTCATTGAACTGGATTCACATGCTGTGAGTAGTTTCCTGCTTTCACGTGCTCCCTCTGTTGGCATCTATGGTCTGTAGAAACAAAGAAGCCATAAAAGTATAAAAAATGGCCTGTTGTCACAAGCCGCGATGCTGAAGGAGTTTCTTGCCTCAATATGTTTCTTCACAGACCCTCCTAAACTGGAGCACCTCTTGCACAAATATTTTGTTTGCAATGTGACTTGAATTGAATGGTTCCTGCTTGCAGAAGGCAAGAATCTTAATTAACAGTCCCACCTAGGAGGGCTTGCATTTTCCCCTTTTGGGTGACTCCCAGTCTCCATAGCTGTGCTTTGGGGTTGGTCCAGGGGGTGTTCCCCAAAACTCCTGAGGGCCACAGCAGCCACTGTGCTGCGTCGTCTAGCAGCCCTAGGAGAATTCGGTCCCTACCTGGCTGCTGAAAACAGTCATAGGACAAGCAGAGAACCTAACAATGCATTCGTCATTTTTGTCACATCCTAAATACCTTTCACTAATATTTAGACAACAGTCTTGCGCTTCCTGTCCATACTCTGGTCATCATGTAAGCACAAAGCCTTCCTTTCAGGCAGACTGGCTCGGGGAAACAGGCTTATGTTTCCTTCTCATGGATGTGAAATTCTGCTTTCCTTTGACAGGAGGCACTGAGGTTGCTAAAGATTCTGCAGAATCTGGATCCCCCCATCTGCATTGATGGACGTACGGTGGAAGTGAACCTTGCTACTGGGAGGAGAAGGTACAGGCTGATGAGGCAGGAGGGTTGTCCTTTGTGTGGTGTGCTGCGAGGCCGGAGCTGTGCTGTCAGACCAGGGGCTTAAAGGTTGGACAGGAATTAGCACAGATGTTCCCAAAACCTAAAGATGTGTTTGAGAGGTGAAGGCATCAGAGCTAGAAGGAGCTTCAAGGATTGAGCAGTATGGGATTATTCATCATATCGCACGGCCTCTTGTTGTCCAGCCATCAAATCCCATTTTGAGGGAATTGATGGGTTCAGCTTTTTAAAAAGCAGTTGGAGAGATTTGTCTTTGTAGATACAGCAGAATGTGATCATAACTCTTGTAGAAACAGTGCTCTACAAAGTCTCTCTGTCTCCTGGGATGGACACAACCCAACATGTAGCCAGGGGAGATGTTCTTTCTGCCTTTATTGGTCCTGATGATCATTTTGAGTATACGGAGGCGAATGTGAAGCCAGACTGGCATTAACCTGCAACCTTTATCTCAACAGGAATGACTATGGGGAGCACAGTGACAATTCCTACTATGGCCCGGTAGGTCTGCACGGCTTCCCTGCAGGTCACTGGAAAGGGAGGGAGCACTGGGGCTTATAAGCCTGACTTTGTTAGGCCTTTATTCTTTGGGCTGCTGAACGTTCAGTGTGTTTGAAGCTGGGATAAGGCTTGGATGTGCTCTTTACTGCTACTCTGCCCCTAACATGTGGCTTGTAATGTGCACAGATGTGCAAGTCAGAGTGCAGATGCTGCTCGAGGGAGCTCTGGGCTGGATTACTCTCCACCACGCTTTTACAGACTGGCTGAAATGATGGCTGAGCTCTGTTCCCGGAGGGAATGTTCCTGTATGTTTTCTGTGTCTCTTCTCTAGTGTTTGTTTCTAGAGTACACGCCTTTCCCATACCGGGTGGGTTGGAGGCTTCAAATGGGTAGTCACGAGCACCTCATCTGAAGCCCGATGGAAGCCGCAGAGGTCTTGTGCTTCGCAACACTGCCCATCGCTCGGCAGATGAAAAGCTCTCTCTGCATGTGCTCTATTTAGGATAGCTAAATGAGCTGTTTTCCTGAACTTCAGGTCTGTGAGAGGAAGGAGAAGCAATATGATGATTGTCAAGGAATCTCTGATCTGTTTGTGTTGTTTGCTGTACTCCAGGGCAGAAGGGGCATGAGAGACAGGAGGGGCGGCGAATCACAGAGACGCACCAGAGCACAGTGTAAGTTAAGCTCTGCCTCACTCCTACTGTGGCGACTTTTCTTCCTTTAAAGGGCACTGACATGTAGAAATCAGCCCAAAAGTATTTTTAAAGGCTAAGAGTAGGTTTGTTTGCTACACCCACTTCTGAGCTCCTTTGCCAGCTTTGTTTAGTCACATTTTCCTATCTGATGATGTGTTTTCTCTCTACTCTTATTGTGCAAAACTACATGCAGATAAAGGAAACTTGCTGTGTGCTTTTCCTTGTTGTGATAAACTGATGGGGCAATTTCTAGATGAGATAGAAAAAAGTACACTTTATGTAGCAGTGCCAGTAGCTGGAAGAACACTCCTGGTTGTTTTGCTAACTTACTGAGCTCTGTCTAATGATGCTTTGGAAATTAGAGGAATTCCTCACATTTTGTGCCTACCCTTAAGGCCTTTGGCTTTGTCTTGTCGGGAGCTTTCATGCACCCACGGACGGAAGGGATGTGGGGAGTGTCATCACTTTAAGTAGGAGCTCTTTGAAAGAGCACAGATCTTCCTTCTGCGTAGGGGTGAGTGGATGCAGAGCCTGGTTCTCATTACTCCATTCTTAGGGAAGTGACTGGAGTTCATATCTTTGGTCAAGTTTGTGGTCTGGTGATCTCAGCACAGCCCCTCTAAGCGTGTTTTGATGTGGTAGTTTTGCCAAAGTCCTAAACCAGAGGAATGTTGAAAACCTGTCTCCCTTCTTGCTGCTTAAAGAAAAGAAGATGTAAGTCGGGTGATGTGAGGATACTCAAACCTCTCTTGCCATGAGAGGAAAATTCTTCTTTCCTGCTCTTGGTCCTTTCAACAGTGAGATATTTACTCATGCTTCCGCCTTTGTAAAAAGCAAGTTCTGCCTTTGGAAGGCTGTGGTGTTAACTCTTGTCTCTCTATTCAGCTCCATCAGATGTGTCCACATACATTTATGATCCTGAAACTGGGAATTACTATGATCCCATAGCTGGGACGTACTATGACCCCAGGACACAGGTGAGTGCGTGGACAGGAAGCTTTACGCTCATTATGTTCTTACAAATGACCTTCCTGTGGAGATATTTCACAGCTAGAGCCTGAAGACAGGCTAGCACGGGACAGTATAGAGGCAGCTTTGTTTCTCTCACTCAGTCCTCTGACTTGTGTAAAAGGGATACACCTTCCAGAATGTTGGCTGAATGAGAGGCTAGGAACCCACTGGCTATGTGTTGGGTTACTGTAGTTGCCTCTTTAGCCTCTTAATCCCTGTGTTTGGAGGGTTTTTTGCTCTGCTCTTGAGTCAGTAGACCTATGGGCAGAGCATCCTTGCTAAGTTTTACTGAAGACAAGTGATATGTGACTCCCTGTATTAAAAGAGGACAGCAGAGCTCTGTTTTCATCTGTGGTCTCTTTGCTGCCTCACCCTAGCCAGCATCTGTTACAAGGAAGCCAAAAAAAGAGTCGTCAGCAGAGATTCTCTGGGACCGTCATCTTCGTTTTGTGATACTGGAAGTGTCCATGTTCTGGGCAAGTGGGGTAGTGCTCTGGTGACCTGGCTGTGGTAGACTGCCTTCTGCCTCAGAAAAGTTCTTGCCGTCAGCTGTGCGAGGCTCTGCAGTCCCTTCTTACAGTGCTGGTCTCCTCAACCCAGTAGGGACAGTAAGCCCAGTAAGAAGAGTGCAGGGGTTTGGCTCAGTCTGTTCCCAAATGCCTCTTTCAGAGAGAAGTCACGATAGACCAAGAGGGCTGCTCGTCACCTACGGAGAGCAGAAGGCGACGGCATGGGAGCCAAGAATGGGCCAGTGGAAGGAAGGAGCCACACAGCAGGGACAACAGGGACAAAAAGGAGAAAGGGAAAAGTACTTCTGCTAAGGTAAATCCCTCCAGATGTTCAAAATGATCAGAGATCCAAGGCCAGGAGGCTGAGGTAAGAGAGGTTAGAAAGCGGAAAGTAATATGTAGAGGATTAAAAAAGCGAGAGACAGTGAGAAAATGATGAAATGTATGGGGTCAGGAGTAGGCCAGGAACATGGTTTTTGACTGGCCAGGTAGGAGTTAAGTTCTTGAAATTTCTGTCTCGTGCCATTAAGTCAGGGCTTCTCATCCCTTCTTTATATTCAAGGTAACTGAGACACATTTCACTCACATTGCTGCAAGCACCCAGGTGTTGTAACAGAGCCGACAGAAGAACAACAGAGGTGTTTAAACATACCAAGTTTAGCTAATAACAGAGACCCAGCCCTCCCCTAGCTGCAGTTCCTGCCTGCTTCAGACATCACTGACAGGCAGGAAGACAAGTGACCCAAGATAAGATGCAGACTCATCCTGCCCAGTGCCTCCCAGTGCTGCTCCCTGTGAGAAAACACCGTGTTGCCACCATGGGAGCTGTTGGTTTGGACCCCAGTCCAAAGTGGTGTTTGAGCACAGCCCAGCACTATGATACTGATGGGGCCTGAGGATTACTGGGAGAGTTGGTAGAAGTGGTTTAGCCACAAATGGGGAAGCTTTGTTTTCTTTCCTGCCTGTTGGTCTGGAAACATGACTAGTGTAGTAGTAGTCTGTGGCATGACTAGTCCTGAGCAGCTGGGACCCAAAGGAGAGTGGTTGTCCTTGAGGTTGGCACCAAGCCAGCCAAGAACTCTCATCTGGTGAGGAGACTGCCTGTTTTCAAAGGCACTGACCTAGAAGAAACATGGTCTTGTTTGAGTGGAGGGTGAAAACATCTCCCGTAGAAATCTCCATCGTTTTTCCTGGCTGCTCTGTGCACTCTGACCCCTATGCTCCTGCTGGTCTAATGCCCAATCTTGGGTTTTTCAGAACGAGCCTGGAGAGGAGAGGTGCTTTGTAGAAGATGTCTTCAAAAAGCCATTGCCTCCCTCTGTGAAAAAGGATGAGAGTGCAGGCCCGGTAAGGTGCTGTGTGGTGCTTGTCTTCCCCAGTCTTGTGTGAGCAGATAATGAACCACTAAACTAGAGCATGGCCAGGTCATCAGACCAGTTCTCTGCAAAGCATGCAGATGTGAAGCTTCACCCCAGCCTAGTCTTCATGCTGCTCAGTGTGCAAGTGAGCACCGTGGGCTCGTCCTGCTGCGGTGCTGGGTGACTGCAGTCTCTGGTGTTCTCTGCCCAGTGTAAGGGAGATCCTGAAAACCACCACCTTGCTGCTGGAGCCTGGCTGCATGTTGTACCACAGACACAGCAGAGAAAACTGGTGCTGTTGTCCTTTCCCCTCCCTGCCTATACTACTTGTGTGTCATCTCCTTTCTCCCAGAGAAGCAGGATGGTCACTTTTCCTGGAGCGGTGCGTTTCTCTGCTCCCATACTTGCTGGCTGTGAGGGTGGCTTTGCACCTGGTCTTCATGTTCCTTGTGCCCACACAGAGGTGTCCAAATGTGAGCTGGCCCTGCCCCAGCTACCTCACTGGCCTGAGGCACAGATGGGGCCACTGCCACCATCACAGTACAGCAGAGAGCGAGAGTGGGGCAGGCTGGGACAGCGTGGTGAGCTGCTGCAGCTATCCTGAAGCATAGCTCCAGGAGAGCTATGGGTTCCCCAGGATGGGAATGTCTCCCACCAAAACCACCACCTCATTTCTACCAGCTGCCTGGCGTGGGTGCTTAGCTCTTGCCTGCACTGACTCTGTGCTGTGATGTCTTACCACCTCATCTTAATTGTTTCAGAATGAGACTGGGGAGGAGAAGTTCTCTGCAGAAGATGTCTTTAAAAAACCTTTACCTCCCTCTGTGAAGAAGGACGAGAGCGCAGCCACGGTAAGTAGCTCCATGGGACTGGGCTTTGCCTCCCTGGAGCCTGGGGTACGTGGCTAGAGAGACTCACCAAAGCCTGACCGTGACCTTCAGGGACAGAGGCGACAGTTTCTTACGCCAGAAGAGGGAGCATTGAGTTGGGATGGTGAAGGAAGTTTGGTTTATAACTCCGAGCTTCTCTGTGGGCTTCTAGCATGGGGAAATTTAATACCTGCATTTAAGCTGGGTCTTCTCACTCAAGCAGTCCTCAGGCAGAAAACTCTTCCAGCCACCTCTGGGCTGGGGAGGGCCCAGCCTCACTGATCTCCATTGCTAAAGGAAGTGACTGATGGCAGCTACCTGCCAAACTTCTCGGTCAGCTTCTTGGGCTTCAGTGTGAGGCAGACTGGGGGAGCCTGGCACCAAAGCACAGCCTGGCTGGAGAGCAGAAGGGCTTCTAGCCTGTGGTGTTTAAATGCTGGCTAACCAGCCTCTTCCCATTCCCTGCCCATGCTGCTGGGACGCCGCTCTCTGGCTCCCGGGCTGGAATGGGGACAGAAGTCCCAGGGAGGTTGGCTGGGGGAGCAAAGCCCCGCGTGGCTGCAGATCGAAACGCTTCTCTGCCTCTCCCCTCAGCCCAAAGTGGTGAACCCTCTGATAGGACTTCTGGGAGAGTACGGAGGGGACAGTGACAATGAGGAGGAGGAAGAGGGTCAGGATCAGGCGCAGTGGCTGCTGCCTCCCCTCCCGCCAGCGCAGCGGGAGGACCAGCCGCAGAAGGCCAAGGTGGGCGAGGACAAGCTGACCGACTGGAACAAGCTGGCCTGCTTGCTCTGCCGGAGGCAGTTCCCCAACAAGGAGGTGCTCATCAAGCACCAGCAGCTTTCCAACCTGCACAAGGTATGGGGGAGCTGGCAGCTGGGAGCTGGTGTGTGCCGCAGGCTGCCGCGGGCTCCGCAGCCTTGTGATCTGCTGGGAAAGACGGGACAGTTGGGTGGGAAGAGCTGCATTGGGTTTGACACAGCAGCAGGCCAAGTTCCCATCACGGCGCTGTTCAGAGCATTGTGAGCTGCTTGTGCCTGCCATGAGAGTGCTGCGACATCGAGGTGTGACTTTCTAAGCTGCAGTGAGATAGCTCAGGGCTGAGGAGAGGAGGGTGCTGGCACATGTGGGTGTGATAGCAGGAAGAACTTAGCACGTGCCTCCCCATGTTCTGCGCTGCCTTTCATCTCTTGCTTCTCAGAGGGCCAAGCAGCATGCAGGTTAAAATAGGACCAGTTGCCTTCTGCACTGTGGAGAGGAAGGGCTCCTGGCCTCCTTGGGGGGGAGTGGCTTATCTGGCCTGCAAGAATCACAGAATCGTTCGGACTGGAAAAGACCTTTCAGATCATTGCATCCAACCATTCACTCAGCACTGCCAAGGTCACCACTAACCCATGTCCCTCAGCACCACATCAGTGCATCTTTTCAGTCCCTCCAGGGGTGGGGACTCCACCACTTCCCTGAGCAGAGCAGCCTCCTCCAGGCCTTGACAAACCTTTCAGTGAATAGTTTTTTCCTAATGTCCAACCTAAACCTCTCCTGGTGCAACTTGAAGCTGTATCCTCTTGTTTCTTGGGAGAAGAGCCTGAACCCCACCTAGCTCCAGTCTCCTTTCAGGGAGCTGTCAAGAGCCAGAAGGTCTCCCCTGAGCCTCCTTTGCTCCAGGCTCAACACCCCCAGGTCCCTCAGCTGCTCCTCACAAGACTTGTGCTCTGTACCCTTCCCCAACTTCATTGCCCTTCTCTGGCTATGCTCCAGCCCCTCAAGGTCCTTCTTGCAGTGAGGGGCCCAAAACTGAACCCAGGATTTGAGGTGTGGCCTCAACAGTGCTGAGTGCAGGGAGACAATCCCTGACATAGTCCTGCTCGCCCCACGATTTCTGATCCAAGCCAAGAGAAGCTGTTGTGTCTGGTATAGTGCAGGTGCAGGAACATGCTGTGTTGCCTGTGCTTCTTACTGGTGATGACCCTGACAGCTTGTATCCTCTGCTAACACTGGCTTCTCTTCTCCTCCTTCTAGCAAAACCTGGAGATACATATGAAGATCAAACGATCTCAGCAGGAGCTGGCATATTTGGAGAAGAGGGAGCGTGAGGTGGGTTTGTGGTAGTGACCAGATTCTGTTAGTGGTGCTGCATTAGGGGGATATTGGCCTCAGGCAGACCCTCCACTTACACACCTGTATCAGCAGCCTGGGCATCAGATGCCTCCCAGAGAGTCGCAGCTGTGGGCACACTGCATTCAGGCCTGTAGATACTGCTGTGACTTCCCCCCCAGAAGGGTCTGAGTGTGGCTCTGGTGTCTTGCAAGCCAGTGTTGGGCTCTGGGCTAAATAGGACACAGATTTCCATCTGAAGTCAGTGCAGTTTGTGGGCTGCTGCTGCCTGGCCAGGACTGGGAGAGCTGGGACTGTCCTTTGGTAGGTCACAGAGCTGCCCCTGGTGCCATAGCTGAAAGGCTGAAACCACAGGTCTGGGTCAGCCTGACGGATGCCATCAGGACAGAATAAGTGGATTGTGGGTCGTAGAAACATCCCGAGTTTGTGTGTCCCTGGGAGAGACTTCCAGCCAGCAGACGATGAGACGAGACCTGGCTGCAGAGCAGTCTCCTGTAGAGTGTTGAATACTTCATAGCTCCCACACTTAGCTTGTTTTCTCTGTTACAAAGGGGAGATACAAAGACAAAGGAAATGACCGGAGAGAGAAATTCCAGCAGATGGATTCACCAGAGAGGAAGCGACTCAGATACGACCGGGACTCGGAGAGGTAGTGGCTGCTCTGGGTCGGATCTTTCTGGGGTTGGCGCGTGTGCTGCTGGGCACACCAGGGCCAGGATGCGGCCAGTGAGGGGGATCAGGGTGAGGAACCGCTGGATTCCTGTGGGCAGAGTTCCCCAAAGCATGAGCATCTTGTGCTGCGGGGCCCGAGGTCTGTAGCACAGGGTGGAAACAAGGGTCTGGGGGAAAGCAGAGACAAGCAGGGTGGATGAGATGGGGTGTTTTGGGGTGCCCAGCCACGTGCAGCCTGTTCCCATCTACCCCAGCCCTGCTGCTCTTGCTGTCCTACTGTGCTGGCATCCAGCCACTCCAGAAAGAGCAAAGCTGCTTCATCTGTTTGGCTGACGCAGAGGAACACGGGGAGCCGGTTCTGTCTCTTTCAGAGGAGACGGGGGAAGTGGGTGTGTGCTGTGCAGGGCTCTCCACAGCCCAGTGGGCTGAGGAGTTGCCAGGCATGTGCTGTAGTCACAACTGGTGATGTGCCTGTTCCCTTCTGGTACAGCACCCCGGGAGACCTTTCCTCCATGCTTAAAAATCCACATCTTTGCTTTCCTCTGTTTTCCTGGAGTAGCTGTGGATAAACTAAACCAGTTTGTGTGCAGGGGCAGCACCAGACAGAAAGTAGAACTTGCCCAGAGGAAGCTATTTTTGTGCGGAGTGGTTTTCAAACCTACAGGTTTTGGTTAATGGTCTTGGATGAGTAATGACCAGATGGGAGACAGGGTGTCCGGATCAGCACCGCGTCACTGACCTCAGCGGCCGCAGCACTGGGAGGAGAGAAAGATCTAATGGACCAGCAGGGATTAGCCTTCACTTTCTAGCTATTGCAAAAATTCAGATTAAGAAATGCAAGCACAGAACACTCCTGGCTGCTCAGACAACAAATATTTTGGAGCCTGAGCTCATTTCCTGTGCCCTGATGTGCTTTCCCCTGAGGCGAGACGAGGAGTCACATGGTCAAAGGTGCCTGAGCCCTGCACTCAGAATCCACTGTGCCGGTTTCCTTGGGCAGTCTGCTTCTTGCAGGAGACTTGGCTCTCCCTACGGAGAGGCTGAAATGTCAGTGGAGGTGCTATGAGCACGGCTAAAAATCCCTGGCATGTGTTTGGAGCGTTGCAAGACTGGCCAATTGCCTCTGCCTCTTTTACAGCGACTGTGACCCAAGGATGGATAGTAACAACAAAGGGAACCGAACGTTTCAGTCCATGGGGTGGAAGAAGGGCTTCGGCCACAACCAGCAGGGCACAGCATCACCAGCGGAGGTGAGTCTTCCCTTCCTTTTGAAATAATCACTGTCCTGCTGCTGGTAAAGTCTCCCAGGGCAGCTGAAGGGAGTTCCCAGGCAAAACAAAGGCCAGGCTGCAAGTCTCAGCGCCCGCTTGATGGAATAATATGTGTGCTAATTAACTTTGCAGGCTGGGAGGGGTTCCAAGTGTGTTGACAGTGGAAAAAAATTAGAATTTATGTGGATCTGGAGGGTGTGAGAACAGAGTAACAGTGACTAGGGAGGATGTGAGCGTCTGATTAATACCTGCCCAAAGCCAAGCTGGGGTTTGAGCAGGTCACCAGCTCAGTGCTCTGCAGCCACGTGAGCTGGGGAGAAGGGGAAGCTGCTTCAGGGAGCCATGGGCATGGCCAGAGCCACGGGGCTCCTGATGCTTTGTGTCTGCTCCGCTCGGGGGGCTCTCGCTGCCATCCTGGGCTCTGGCCCTGGGAAGGGAACCCTGGGGTACCTCATCTCCTGAGGAGCGGAGTCCCCATCAGCAAAGGGCTTCAGGGACAGGCAGGGCTGGGTGGACCCTGGCGGGTCTCTCAGGGGGCCTCCATTTGTTGCGGAGAGTTTATCTGCCGACAGTTGCCCCGCAACGGGCGGCGTGTGGCAGAGATACCTGGGGCTTCGTGACGCACACTCACTGGAGCCCACGCGGGAGGCAGGATTCCCTCTTCTGTGCAGGCAGCAGAGACCAGCCCCAGATGTTGCTCAGTCCTCACGGGGAGTTGCCCGTGGCCATATAAAGGGCTCCGGCGCCGTGCCCTGGAGGTCTGAGCTCCACCAGGGCTCCTGGGACGGGCCATGGGCTGCAAAGCACAGCCCTCGTGCTGTGCCTGTGAAGGCCTTCAGCAGCGCCCTGGAGATGGGCTTTCTGCCCGCTTCCAAGTCATGCCAGGCAGAGCCATCTGCCCACTTCAGCCCTGCAGGACTTTGATCTCTTGGCCTAATTGATCACATCACTGATATTCAGATAAGCCAGACTTAAAAGCAAAGAGAAACTTCCAGCCTTGGGCCTGCTCTCCTAGGCTAAGTCCAGACAGGTATTACTGAACAATTCAGGTGCTGGCTGCAAAAGCCGGTCGTTAAAAACTGGATGGAATTCCAAGTTTGCTCCTGGAGCCCATGTGAGCTCCATTAGAGGGCAGAACAGCTGAGCTTGTGCAAACACAGCCGAGCTGCAGGCAGCTCCCAGGGGCCTGCCTCTCCCCGGAGCTTCCCAACAGCCAGCAGAGAGGAGAAGTCACTAACACAAGCTTGTGTCTGTTTGCAGGCAGAAAATCGGAAGAAGGGCCCTGGCCTGGGGGTGCAGGGGAAGCCCAGCAAGAGGCAGTCCAATGAGACCTACCGCGACGCCGTCAGGAGAGTGATGTTTGCCCGCTATAAGGAACTCGAGTGAAGGGTGGAGGAAACCCCAAGCCTGTCTCTCGCCAGCTCTCTTTCTCTCTGTGTCATGTTCTTTTGGGGTTTTTTTTGTTTGTTTGTTTGTTTTGTTTTTTTGAATTGTTACAGGTTTTGCTGCTAGGATTTTTTTAATAAAACCTAAAATTTGTCAGTGCTTGTCTCCTGGCTAAAATGGTATGTTTTAAAAGCATACAATGCTTCGGGAGATTCCCATTGTGTTTTGCCCTCTGTTGCTTGGGTCCTTGGGAGCTACAGCCATGTCTGTGGGGCTGGGACAGGTCTGGTCGCTCGGTGACCCTGCCAGCAGTGCCCCTGTCCTGCAGTGTGTTCCCTGCCAGCTCAGCACCTGCTGTTCCTGGAGCCATGTACTCGTGGGTCAGGATGTGAGCTGGGAACAGGGACGGTCCCAAGGCCTTGAGGAATTTGGAGCAGGAACAGCTGGCCTGAGAGCTTCATCCTGGCTCTTGGCAAGGACAACCAGATTTGATTAATAACAATGATTAATAGCAAGAGCTTAATGGCTAGAGGTGCTCTGGCTGATGTGGGGTGACATCTGGGCTTCCCAATCATGGCTGAGCTCTCCCCGTCCTCCCCACAGAGCATGGTGAGGGCCGGGGCTGGTGGCAGTGTTGGTGGGGACATGGTCATGCTGGTCCAGGGTGGTGGGGGCTGTGCAGTGGCCTGCAAGGGACTGTGTGTGTGTCAGAGGAGAAGCCTTTCTGAGCAAGTGCTGGTCACAGCCCCGAGAGGTGCAGAGGCAGCTCCTGGGCAGGGAGGTGTATCAGGGGTGGTTTGGCCAAAGCACAGGGTGTGCGTGCGCAGCACGGACAGGCGCTGGTTGCAGTGGCAGGTAGGAGCAGATCCTGTTCCCAGAGGGCAGGAGGGTGGTGCTGGAGCTGTGCTGGCTGGCACCCACCGCTGCTTTCCTGCTCCCCCAGCAGACAGCAGGCCCTGGCACCACTTTCAGCTGTCCCAAAGTAGAGAAACTGGGAGACATGGAAGCTGAAGGGAGCGGGATGTGGAGGTGAAGGGCTACCTGCAACAGCTGACACCTTCTAAAGGCAGCAAAAGACCTGTCCAAGCAGCATTTCCTTGTCTCCAGCACAGGGAGCCCCAGGGAGCTGGGGGGCACTTGCTCATGGGCAGTGGTGGAGGTGGGGACGCCGGTTGTGGGGCTGGTGAGTACATGGCTGTGAGGGGAGGGAGCGTGTGCCCAGGGCAAGCTATGTTGTTTTGAAAGGGTCTGTGACAGCCCCCTCCTACCAGAGAGCCCCTCTGTGTCCGGGCTAAACTGAGCAAACTGAAGGACGGGAGCTGCTCAAGAAACTTGGTTTTCAGGACCATGTGGAAGTTCAGATGGGCAAAGAGCCCCTCTAACCCTTGTGCATTAAAGCAAACACCTTTGGGGACTATGTGGCACAACCAGCAGCCAGGAGCAGCTTGTCTGGGTCTACAGGCTGGGACAGTCTGGGTGATGGTGTTGTGGTGCTTTTAATGGGCAAGTAGATGATAACCCTGACCCAAAGGACCCCAATAGCTGAGTGGAAATAATGAGGACTTATCCGAAATTAGAGCCTGAGCCATAATTCAAAATCTCAGAGTGTAGCAACCCTTCCACTCTCCTCCCAGTGACCTCCAAGTGAGGGCAGAGAATTTGGAAAGATGTGCAGAAGGAGTCACTGAGCGCTGTGGAGATCGCAGCCAGGGCTTCGGTCACTGTGGGAATCCCAGGCAAGGGGGGAAGGGATGGGGAAGGTGATGGGCTCTTGGGGATGAGGTCCCTGAAAGGGAAGCAGTTGTGGTGGCACAAGGTCTGGAGGAGGGAGCTGGCACTCCTGAGTCTTGGAATTATTCACATACAAAGGGGGAAAGGGGTATAACTGCAACAGGACAACATTCTCAGCACTACTGGAGGGAAGTGGGGAGTCTGGGAGCACGTCGGTAACTGCTGCACAAGCCATCCTGCAACCAGGGGTACTAAGAATGAGCACCCACAGAGCATCATTCCCAAAGGAAATTGCAGGGAGCCTTTACAGCCACTAGCTTCAGGAACCCTCTATCTGATTCTATTAATTTGCTGAGTGGGTACCTCCATCTTAGGGAAAACCTGTTAATGGCTAATGATACGTAGTTAATTAGAAGATAATAAAATAGATAAATGTAGGAGCAGCTTCCTTTGGGCAGATGGACCTCATTAAATTATGTATGTTCCTTGGCTTAGCTTTGTGCTTGCTTGTGGTCAGCGTGATGTGTGGGACAGGAGAGGCAGCACAGCCCTTTCCTGGTGCTCTCACCCTGTGCTCAGGATCCTGCTGCTGCAGCACAACCCTCCACACACACTCCAGACCACCCCTGGGCATGGCACCACCCTCTGCCTCACACTGCTTCACTCCCTGGCACCCGCATCCCTCCTCCTTTCAGGAGCTGCACGTGCTACTGGAAGAGATTAAGTTGTGCTGGTTACTCCCAGCAAAGGAAAAAGGCAGAAGCAGGTGGCAGGACAAGGGATGATACTTTTAAACCAAAAGAGGACAAATTTCTACTAGATACAGGGAAGATATTCTTTACTGTGACATTGGCCTGGCTTGCCCAGAGACATGGCAGGTGCCCCATCCCTGGAACCATTCCAGGTCAGGTTGGACGGGGCTCTGAGCGACCTGCTCTAGTTGGAAATATCCCTGCTCCCTGCAGAGGGCTTGGACTAAATGACCTTTAAAGGTCCCTCCCAACCCCAAACATTCTGTGATCCCATAGAATTTCCAGTCATGGAGGGGGGATCTACAGCTTGCTGGGATTGTGCTGGCATGTATCGAGCACACACAGGGCTGGCCTCATCCCTGGGAAGCTGGAGTGGCTCAGCAACACACAGAGCAGCCCAGCTGCCACGCAGCACTGCCACCAGCCCCTCTCCTCACCCCCAGGAGCTCCATGCACGTGTTGCTCAGCCCATTTGCAGCCTGGAGGAGGCCAGTCCCATCCAGCTTTTCAAGTGCCCCTCGCTGCCCTGTGGAGCACGAGGGTGTGCTGCGAGGAAGCTGGGGAACATTGTGCCCTAGGGGACAGAGTCCCCCATTCCACACAGTGGAAGGATGGGTACTAATCCAGAAATGGCAGATGCCCATCAAAGAGGGGCAGCAAGAGCAGGGTGCAATCCCACTGAGCAGGACCAGTGTGGTGGTAATGACAGGTCCCACCAACAAGCTGGTGACAAAGCTACCTGTAATACTCCATCCAGGAGGTAAGGCTGCCTGTGTCAGCCTAAAGTCTGTCCAAGAGAGTGGTCTGGACCTTCAGCACATCTTAGGAGGGTACCTACAACCCCGGCCTGGGCTTAAATGGAGCTCCCAGCCCTGTTAGCAGTGGGTGGGGTGGGTGTCCACCTGAGGCCAGTTGATGCCCCCAGAGCTCAAACACCCTCCTGGGCCCTGCTGAGATCTTGGGCAGCTCCCTTAGGAACTTCCTATTGCTGGGGCTTAGGAGAGGGGCTGAGCAGCTCCCAGGGTGTGGGGCAGCTAGACGGCAAAGCCCATTTCCCCAGAGGGCTGCTGGGATGTGCCTGCCCCAGCACATTAATTTGGCTCAGGGGTGTGCTTCTGAAACCAACCTCCCCGACTTTCCCCACTTTACTCCTCTTTGGATTGCATCCTGGAGCAGTTCTGGATTGCTCAGGCTTGGGAGAGCATCAACCAGATTCCTTTCAGATGAAACCAGATTGAATGTGCTCCAGGAATACACCTCGCACTCCCCAGCCACTGATGGGCGTTCAGGCTACAGCATCAGCCCAGAGCCCATCCGCAGTGAAGAAAACCCTTGTAAATGTGTAGTGCACACATCAGGCCCTTGGATGTCCGGGTCTGCTCTCGCTGAGCTTGTGTACAGCCATCAGAGCGTGGCAGGCAGCAGTGGGAGGGGCACGGGGTGTCTCCAGCCCCCCCATCCCGCTGCAAGCTGGTTCCCCAATTTATAAAAGAGGAGGAAAAAAAAAAAAAAAAAAAAGA